ACCTGCTACGAATTTATTAGGCTCATCCTCCACAGGTACAGCTACTCCAACTGGACCATTTTCTGTAAATAAATAATTTATAAGATTGATCAAAGATACATTATATCTCATTTTGATTTAATTGATTAATATCTATTACCTATATATGTGCATGTAACAGAGCCGGATGCAGGATCTAATCTGCATAATTTTTGATTAACGATATCCACAAAGTATAATTTCTGAGATCCATGATCCCAATGCGGTCCCTCGGTAAGTCCAAATGGTTCTGTCACTGCATTAATCGTAATTCCAGGTGTATTTTCATTAATTTCAGTTACACTTACTCTATAGAAAAATAAGACATCAATTATTCTAATTATTCAAATATTAAATTATTATAAAAATATTTGAGAAAATAATCATATTTTTATTATTATATTAATTGCATTCGTATGGGTTTGATAAGAAGTAAAATCAATGATTGCGTTGATTTATTGTCTCAATGACATATCAAGGGCAAATTACGTATTAGGTTATCGTATAAGAGAGAGAGGGACGAAAACAGAATGATAGAACATCATTTGATCGATCAAATGAAATTATAAAGCTATTAAGGAAATACTTGATGTATTATTAGACAAGTTCTACGAATGCTTTATATATCTACAGATTATGTAAAACATATTTACATGACCATTTTAAAAAACCCGCTGATCAATTTTCAAACGTACAAAAATATTTTTAATTAGTAATAATCATTAATTGTTAAAAAATAGAAGAAATAACGAAAATAATTAAAAAACAATGAATTGTTGTTAAAATTTATGAACACTCGGTATAATTATAAACGTATGGATGGATAAAGAACATCTGTAGTATCTCAGACAAAGTCCTCTTCCGAACTGATCATTCTTACTCTCTGAATACCTTCGAATAACTTTTATTTATTCTTTCAAAATTCTAATTGAAGCACGATATAATGCACGATGATAATAAGTTCCATGATAATAAAACCACGTATATCTTCTCGTATTTATAAATGTCTCGCTCGTTATCAAAAATTGTTTTTATTCTTTTGAACGTTATTAAATGTCTGTATTCATGTTTAAAAATTATTAAAAAAGAAAAAATAATGTAGTCACTTATATCGAGTATATCGAATACGTACATATTGACACGATACACGTAAAATAAATTAGAAAGTACGAATTCCAATGAGCTTAGAGAACACGATTAGATCTTAAGCCAAGTGCACTCTGATTTTTTATCGTTTTATTTTTTTTACTCTTCTTACTTCTTAAACGTAATTGAAATCCTTTCACTTACCTAGCATTTGTCAAAGCAGTAAAATACGATGTGATGTATAAAAAGAAACGAAAAATATCGAACATAACGAAAATTTAATATTTTCGATGTAGTCGAAGAAAGTGAACGGGATGTACGAACTTCTCGGTGGATTTGATTCGATGTTGAAAAATTGAAAGTACCGACAAAGAAAGAATGCTTAGTCAAACTTATTCATCCTTATATAGATTTTTACGTTCACTTCGGTATGCTGATAGAAATTGATAAGCATGATAGCACATAAAATCAATATTGTGATATTTACTCAAGACTTGCTGAATATAAATGAAACTTATCGTTAATGGAGTAGTGTAACTCCATTTATATTTTACAAGTGATATGCGAGCAATTAAAAAAATTAGCAAGTAAATACATTTTTTATGAATCATATTTTGTTGTTATCTTTTGGAAACAAATAATAAATGATTATTGAAAATATAATGTATTCTCTTCGTTATTTTTTCCTTTCGTAGAAAATAACACGATTTTTCTATATCTATTATCTATATGTAAATTTACTCAATTTGTTGTAAAAAAGAAAAAGAAATATATATAGAATCCATCTATTCCAAATTAAAAAAGTATTTTTACAAAAAAAACGCAAAGAGTAAGATTATATAACATATTTGTAAGAATGTTGAGAAAATGTAAAACGATTAAAACAAATATTGTCTTAAGTACTTATTATATAGATGTAGAATATTAAAGTATTAAAAAAGATAAATTTGAATATGATTGAATAATATTGTTTAACATGCGCATCAATTATAATTCGATACGCATGCGCGAAGGATACGGTAGCGCCATCTGTCGTTTGTTAAGGAAACACTCTTCTCTCGCGGCCAACATCATCAAGTCACGTGACAGCGGCATATTGATACGTGTCGTCGAAGAGAGCCACGATTCGCAACCGTTTGCCAGTTTAAGCCTACGCGGCCACCTTTACTCGCGTTTTCTTGTTTCATGTACAAGTGTTTAACGGTGTTGTTCTTAGAGTCCTATTAAGAGCATCGTTTAGTTGCACTGCTGAACAGTAATATTAAAGACAAATAACGTTACGTTATTAAAATGGGATGTAAGTATATAATTTAATTAATATAAATTACAATGATATAGTTTTTTCTTAAATTATATTACTGCTATTTACCGTATTGGTAACCTCCCGGAATCGTTTATACTATAACAACATATTGTTACCACAAGGAAATTTTTTTATATTCATTGACTTTCATCACCGAAATTTTCTTTTTCTTTTTCTTACTCGTCTAATTATAATTTTTCAGTCAAATTTTTGGAGGTAATAAAACCATTTTGCAGTATACTACCAGAAATAGCGAAACCACAGAGAAAGGTAAGTTTTCGTGGATCTATTTATATCTTTGATTTATATTTGTTAATTGCACACATTGTATTTTCTAAATTGTGAAAATTAAATCTTCATTGGACATTACAATAATTGGAAGAAAATAACCTTTAACCTACTTGCATGTGGCATCATTTTTTATATCATTTTTCTTTTTCTTTTTTACACATCTTTTATATTTCTATCTCTTTACAGATTCAATTCAGAGAGAAAGTATTATGGACAGCGATAACATTGTTTATTTTTTTAGTATGCTGTCAGGTAAAGTATACATACATATGCATATACATATATATACATATATATATATATATATATATATATATATTATTTATTATTTATTATTATCACCTATACCTTATGTAAGTTGATAATATATTTTGCATGAGGTAATATTCAAGAATATGTAATAAATATAATTTCTTTAGATTCCACTCTTCGGTATTATGTCTTCGGACAGTGCAGATCCTTTCTATTGGATTCGTGTCATTCTTGCATCAAATAGGGGTACACTAATGGAATTAGGAATTTCTCCTATCGTTACTTCTGGTCTTATCATGCAGCTTTTGCATGGAGCAAAGATTATTGAAGTTGGTGATACGCCGAAAGATAGAGCGCTGTTTAACGGGGCACAAAAATGTAATTAGAGAAGATTGCTGCGTATATCTTATAATATCTTCACTGGTTAAATAATCTTCCGTTTATTCTCCATACAGTGTTTGGTATGGTTATCACTGTTGGACAGGCCATTGTTTATGTAATGACTGGAATGTATGGAGATCCAACTGAAATTGGAGCTGGTGTTTGTCTTTTGATTATCATTCAATTATTTGTTGCTGGCTTGATTGTATTACTGCTCGATGAATTGCTTCAGAAAGGTTATGGTTTAGGAAGTGGTATTTCTCTCTTCATTGCCACTAATATTTGTGAGACTATAGTATGGAAAGCATTTTCTCCTGCCACTGTCAATACTGGTATGTTGATTTCAATATAATACATGTTTTGAGTAATACCATTTAATATGTTATATTATATAAATTATGTTAAATGAACAGGTCGTGGAACAGAATTTGAAGGTGCTGTTATTGCTTTGTTTCATCTTTTGGCTACAAGACAAGATAAAGTACGAGCTCTTCGCGAAGCATTTTATAGACAGAACCTTCCTAATCTCATGAATCTTTTAGCTACTATTTTGGTATTTGCAATTGTTATATACTTCCAGGTAATGTGTGAAATATCATTTGCTATGCCTTTGAAAATTACATAGATGAAAATATAAATGAATATAATTAATATGATCAATTTATATTTATAGGGTTTCCGTGTTGATTTACCAATAAAATCTGCTAGGTATCGAGGTCAATATAGCAGTTATCCCATCAAATTGTTCTATACCAGTAATATACCGATTATTCTTCAATCGGCATTAGTATCCAACTTGTATGTCATCTCTCAGATGTTGGCTGTTAAATTCCAAGGAAACGTAATTGTCAATTTGTTAGGAGTTTGGTCTGATGTTGGTGGTGGTGGTCCTGCTAGGTCTTATCCTGTTGGCGGATTATGTTATTATCTTTCGCCGCCAGAATCAGTAGGTCATATCGTCCAAGATCCGGTGCATGCTGTTTTATACATCTTATTCATGCTTGGTTCATGTGCTTTCTTCTCTAAAACCTGGATAGAAGTTTCTGGCAGTTCTGCAAAAGATGTAAGTTAATATACTTTTTATCACATTAAGTATCTAATGAATACAGTAATATGTATTATTGTCAATTTAGGTATGGAAACAATTAAAGGAACAACAAATGGTTATGAGGGGACATAGGGACAATTCCATGATTCGTGAATTAAATAGATACATTCCAACTGCTGCAGCGTTTGGTGGCCTATGTATTGGAGCTCTCTCTGTACTGGCTGATTTTCTTGGTGCAATTGGATCGGGCACTGGTATATTACTTGCTGTGACTATTATATATCAGTACTTTGAAATCTTCGTTAAGGAACAAAGTGAAATGGGTGGCATGAGCACTCTATTGTTCTAAACTTAATATACATAGACTTTCAAAGTGAACTTTTTTAATTTTGAAGAACTGAAAATAATTTATTGTAAAATAAGAACGTTTGGCAATCTCAGTACTAATATGTACCTAATTTGCCATAAAGTGAAGTCTTCATCGTGTGAATCAAATCATACAATATGTGTATACATTGTCCTGATAGATTTGTCATATTATGCAATTATTTCATAAATTCTCTTATGTATGTTAGAATTATATATATATATATCTCCTTTTTTTTTTTTTTTTTTTGTTTATTTTTTACAAAAGAAATACGTTTTTTTGTCGCATGTGTAAGTAAAATAGCCGTTCGTTCTGCACTATATCTTTAGTGCGTAAGTCATGCCAATTGCAATCAAATGCAATGACGATGTGTAGAAGAGGAATTCATACATAACTCTTAAATGCTCGAATAAAAATGTGAAAAGTTTTTTGTCGGATGCTCTATGCGATTCATTTAAGATGAAAAGTTTCTCACAAACGTGCGCGAGCAATGTACATAGTAAGAAAATAATTAAATATTCTCAACATTTTTTACTAATATTTTAAACTCTGTTTAATCCAGAGCTTTATGAAAGACTCAAGACAAGTACGATTAAATTCGTAACGTTTGTATGAATTTAAGCAATTATGAATATATACAATATGTAATCATTTTGTTCGGACGAGGCACCCACCTAGGGTATTCGTACAGCAATCAACTTGAACATTGTTTGTTCATCATAGGTATCATCATTCCTGTATCATTAAAGACATAACACACAATTTAATTTCTTCAATGTATTTAGCACAATGTACTTTTATAAAAAGTAAAACTTATTTTTCGTCTTCCTTGTTTTGTCCTACCTATGAAAGAAGAACTACCTTTCTTTAGTTCATTTATATTTACTCGTAAAACAATTGCAATTTATTAATATCAGAAAGAGAATGAATGTGAGATGTATCGATGATGCAACATATGCTCTTAAAACTTATAAACGTGTGTTGGTTATATATGTATATATATATGTATATATATGTATATATATATATATATATATATATATATAAAATATTTGCAAAAGAATTAATTTCTATTTTATAAAGTGTGAATGTCCTTTTCTACTTTGTATGTAATAGCGTTGTTATTGATAATAATATACCTACTGTTATACAATTTCAATGTAGAAATTGGTATATTGAATACCTATATTGTATTGTGAATAGTATAAAAGTATTAAATTCCTTTCAAAGGCACATTATATTAGCTTTCCTTTCTCTATTAATTATGTTCTTTAAAAATCATTTCTTTTTTAATTCTCTAACATAATGTATACAAAATAAGTGATTATTATATTATTTACATCACGATTATATTATATATCCCTATATTTATATGAAAAGATTTATATTTTCCTTTATATTCGATCATATGAAACATAAAAGTATTTTTGCATTATTATTTATGTTCATTAAAAAACAATGTAGAATAAAGTGGACCTAAATTGTGAATATTTGCGAGTAAAATCAAACGAAGTATTTCTATGAAACGTGTGTTTGGAATAGAAGTATCGGTATCTCTCCATGCTACGTTAGATCCTTCATTGCGAGTAAATAATGCTGGCGATGGAACATTCTCTCGCATGTATGCCCATACACATTCTCTCATCACAGTATTTATCTGTAATAAAAACAAGTTAATATTTAGACTTTTCACATAGCATTCTGTTGGTAAGAAAATCCAAAATAATTTATTTATAAAATAAATTCGTGTACACGCATACCTGATTAGTTTCTAAAACGGGTAGAATATCTCTTATACTTGCTAATGGAGGTGGCAGTAATTGTCCAAGTGCCATAACATTTAAAAGTGCTACTCCTTCTTCTATATTCCAGTTAGCCATAACTGTGGCTGCTATACCTCTTAACAAGACAGAACAATAAGCTAAAGCGGGTCTGTACCAAGCTGTTAATTCCAAAAGAGTCCATAAAAGAGGTACGTCTTTAAATGTACGACGAATTTGTAAATCTCTTTCCACAGTAACCTGTTATAATAGAAAGCTTTGTTAACTAATATTTGAGATTTGATAATCAAGATATTTTTTAAGAAGTGCCTACCTTTGTAAATTCTTCATCAGGCCATGGCAAACCATTATACATAACATCAGGTGATACTAATTCTACTAATAATAAACTAACCATTGTTAGCGCATCTAAATTAACAGGATATTGTTCTAATTCCTGATTGCTACAGCAAGCCTGAAAGAATGAAATAAAATAAATATTATATAATGATGTATAAAATTTATATTTTATACATGGCATGCATATATAAAGCTTACCTTTATCACATCAATTAATAACATTTTGTTTAAAGTAATAATCTCTTTATTAATATTGTTCTCGGGTGGTGGTCTTCTTGGACCATGTCCTATTACACCAGCATGGAATACGGAAGAGTTTCTTTGAGCTAGCATTGTACTTGTAACCTAGAGTTATAAGAGTAATATTAAAAATATATAATATAACATGACATGTGTTTGATTTGTCAATTATAAATTTGTAACAATATTACCTGCCTATGATTTTGATGTAAAAGTAACATTTCTTCAAATTGTGGTTCAAATTTTTCTTTTGCACCAAAATATTTGGCTGGATCATTATTAATACAATGTACCAAAATATCTCTAAGTGCTAAGACCCTTGCGCACTGAGAATAACAAGTTAAATCCTTTAATAGATGACAAACTATTTTTATACCTTTCTCTTTCTTTATAATATCTGTAAATCAGTATCGATATTTTAATGGGCATTATAATATAACTGAACATACCGATGTATAAATTACCTTCTTCTGCTATACATAAAAAAAAATACTGCAGTACCGCTTTCACTAATTTTAACGTAAGTTCAATATTTGGAACAAAATAATCCTTCCCAGGCATACTTAATAAATCTAGCATTATAGCTATGTCGTTTGCTAAATCAAAATTATCTGTTTTCGTTAATAATGAAGAAATTTGAAGTAAATTCGATTTAATGGCTCTAGTTACTATTTTCGATCTAAATACTATTACTTTATTGGATTTCTCCCACCTAAAAGAAAAAACAAAACAAGTTTCGCATTTAAAATTATTCTTCGGTAATTTAAATAAATTTATATTATACAATGCATCAGTGTTAGATATTACGTAAAGCTTTACTTTATATACCTACTTTAATAATATCGTAAGATTTTCAAACAATTTTCTTGACTCTTGTATCTCTGTAACACTTTTATAATGAATTTCTCGAAGTGCTTGTTCTACTACTTGTGTAAAATAACCATGATTGGCAAACATAGTTTCACTTTCGGGTTTGTTTACAGGAAACAATATGGAATTGTTAGAAATAAGATGTATCAATGCAGCTAAATGAAATGTTGTTTGTGCTTTTACCAACATAAATGATGCAGCAGATATTAAAATATTAGAACTCTGTCCACCAATGAAGCACAATAGCCTCACTGCTGTTTGAACTCTTAATGGATCTCTATTTAGAAGTAATGGTATTATCACAAGTAACTCTTGTTTAATAGAATTTAAAAGAGAAATATTTGCAGACTGTACGCTATGTGTCCTTAAAGTTAAATTTATTTCTTGTAGCATTAACTCTAATATTTCACGACATACATTCTTGACACTCTGAGTTGCATTAACACTATGATATCCAACATTGCTTGTATTCAAACTAGTATCTAATAGAATATTTATTATTTGAGATGCTCCTTGTTCACAACCTAACGCTAAGTGTACAGCTAAGTCAATCAGTGCCTCCGGTTGATTATTGAAATATTTACACCAATCTGAGGCATATAGAGCAAGTCTTGGAATAACATCAGGATTTACTAAAATATAAAATGTAATATTACTTTTTACATCTTTCTCAATCTATTAAGTATTTTTACTTACATATTTGTGAAATATCGCTAGTTATTGCTTTTAATAATGTGGGAGAAAGGGAAGCTAAATTTAACAGAAATGGTACAGTAGCTAATTTTTGCTGTCTCGTATCTTCATCAACATTTACATTTTCATCCAAACTCCACTATAAGAAAAAAACAATTAAAAATTAATAAATCAGGGAATTTATTAATTATTATCACATTATCTTACCTTAAATAAATCCAATAGAGCAGTTCTAATGTCCTGAAAGTGACTTCCAGCTAAGTGTCCTAGAATACCAACAACGGAATTCAACTTTGGATTCTTTACGTTATACTCATAGCCCATGGCGCAGAAATCTTTTAATCCGCATGATAATACTCTTGTAATAACTGTGTTTGGGAAACAACTTCCCACATGAGCAACGACCCAATCAAAATGCGGACTATGTAATACACTAGTATCCAGTAATGCTTTGATACAAGATTCTGTATCCGAATGCATAAGACACTGAAGACATTGCGCTGTGATGTCAATCAATGTACGAGTAGCACGACAAGACATCCATTGTTGCAAAAAATCATTGATTCCAGCATTAGTTGGTAAATTACCTCGTTTTGAATATTCTGATGATAATTTACCTATTAAATAAAATATTTACATTAGATAGGAGAATAGTTTTTATATCAATACAAATTAAATAAAATTAAACTTATATTTACCAAGCAATTCTAAAGACCATGCTGATATAATCGGTGCCCATGCTTCTGGATTTCCATGAATGAAATTACTTAATACTGTATAAATTTCTACAATAATACCTTCCTCAGATATAACTACGCTTTGATTTGTCTGTAAAATATAAATTAATATTTTTATATAGATTAATCAACAATACTAATCGATGATATGTATACTACTATTATTTACCTCAATTTGCCGTACATATTTTGTAACTGCAATGCAGAATACATTACAAAAATATTCAAGTACAGCATCTCTAGCAGCAGGAAGATTTTTAAGTAAAAACAACGCTGTTCTAGTTACATCAAGAGTATTTGTATTATGAGAAGGTCTGACAGCCGATGAAATAAATTTTCTAACCTCTGCTAATATATCTTGTGGTGATAATGTATTCGTTAAATGTAACATATCTAATATAATTGTATATATATATTTACGAAAGAGAAAGAGAGAGTGAGAGAGAGAGAGAAAGAGAGAGACAGAGAGAGTAAATTTTTATTAGTTCTTTAAATATCTTTAAAATTATCAGTTACGTTTCCTGATAACTTTACGTGAATATATTCACGTTTTTATAATGTGCAATTGCATTTTTTTTCGTAATGCGTGAACGTTCACATTGGCACGGATATACGTATAAACTAAACATACTACAGTAATCAAAATTATTTCGAATATTAAAATAATGCAAATTGTAAACTTTATTAAATGAAAATTCATTTAATTTCATTAGAATTATAAAAATGATTAAATAATATATGATAATTATTTACATTTATAATTATTTGATCAAAATAGGTTAAGAATATGAACTTTGATTTGACTAAAGTTTCTAAACTTCAAAAATTCTAATCCAACCAATCTTTTTTTTCCGTTATTTTCATAAATTCATAGGATAATAAAATACAACAAACACATTCATACTCTATCAGTCTCCATCTTTTATTAAATTTTTATTACAATTATGCTTCTGAAAAAATCATCAACTTAGACTATCTAAAATTATTTATATAATTTTTGAAATACTTATGTGAAAGATTAATATCATTTATCAAGTACATAATTAAGTCCTAAAAAGAGTTCTTAAAAATATCAAATTATTTATATAGAACATTTTTTAAATGATTTGAAATCCATAATCATATATGGAAAACAAATAGGATATCCTTTTTTATCTTTCTAACGTCTCTTTTTTTTTTCTTGCTTTCGTGGCCGATGAGGTTTTCTTGGTGTAACTTGTGGACTATTTTCTGAACATTCAACATCACTTGGATCATCCTATAATCATTATCATTATGTATAATAAATATATAAAAATATCGAACTAAGTAAATTATATAAGCGATAAATAAAAATAATTATCATTTACAATTTAAGATTATACCTTTAATGCGGCACCCCCATCAGATGGACCTGCTCGGTATATAACTATAGCTAATATACATACAACTTGAAATATTGCTCCTATATAAAGTCCAATTCTTAATAATTGTTCAAAAAGTGTTTCTTCAGCAGGAAGTAAAAGACGTTTCAATTGTGGATCAGCATCTGCCATACTAAAAAATACATGCATTGAATACACTGATACTATGCATTACAAATCATATATTCAAAAATATTACTACCAATAGATATTTTTTTTATTGTATAATAAAAATCTTTTACATTGATGGTATGAAATCAGGAAATATTTAAAGATAGTGTACAGTTTAAAACACAATACCTTTTGCTAAGTTTTTAATTCCATTTAGAAAATTATCAAATATTGTGTGAGGGAGATATGAATTTTTATTAAACATATACCACACACGGAAATCAATAACCTAAGCAACAGTCGATTGCACGCAGAAAGTCCGTTCATATAGCAAAATTTTCAGAATTACCAACCATATCGGTTGTATTTAAAATGACAACTATTCAAATATTAGTTCAGTTACAATAATACATTAGACAAACGTAAACATTAAACGTGTAATTTGTCAAATCGATAAGGTTATAATAAAGTATAGAAAATATACGTTCTTATTCAGAAAGTTCATAAATTTTAAAATGTGCAAAAAGTTTGCCAAATTTTTATTGCGATCTTATTAAGTTGTCACCTTGCTTAGATTTAATAAATTCAACGATAGATGGCATCGTAATACGTAAAATCGATCTCAGCGCCATCTGCAGATAATAATGTGTACTAATTTGTAATAAATTCGTAATATTTTAATCGAATTGATATAGGTTCGATCAAATGGTATTCATCTATTATAGATTCTTCTCGATCCAATCAATCTACTTAAAAGTGCTAAAAGATATTGAGCATCGATATTAATGTGAAAATAAAACTCAATGTTCGGTAAAATTAAAATTGGCGCGCCGATAACAGCGCCGGAAGTTATCTGGGTTCGAGGCTTCATTGCTTGCGAGTCCGTGGATGTGAACCTTTGTTTTGTACAGAAGAATGGCTGCCATCTTTAGTTTTCGATGGATGTTTTCCGAAGAGATCGCGAATTCTTGTATTTATTGCGGTATTTAATAACGTAATAAAATTTAGGACAGTGAAATAACGTTGTTCGCGATGTAAAGAGTGTTTTCTCCTTGATTATTTAAGCTGCCCTGGTGTTAGTTCCATTAAAAAATGCTTGTGTTTACATCCAAGTTTCAAGTGAGCTTCTGTATTCCTGTCATATTAAGGTAAGCGATAGTTTTTTTTCGATATTTTTAATACTTTAGAACGGTTTGGAAATTGTAATTACATCGTTTGATTATCTAAGTTTATTCAATATCATTTGTAAATACACTTTTAAAAGAGAACATCAGGATCACGATTATGAATATCTTAGATGACATTTAAATCTTATTTTACGTTAAAAACTTTTTACGTATTAATGATTAATTATTTATTCATTGCGCATTCTTCATTCTTCTATTACTTTAACGATTTGTTACCGATATTATAAGACTTCGTAATACTCCCTATAACCAAAAAAGTTCGAACTAACGTTGAAATATTAATATATTGAACCTTTATTAATTGGTTCATTAAATAAATATTGAGGATTATTACGAAAATAAGAATTCTTAAAAATATATCTGTTAATTGCAATTTTCATTCCTCAATGGTGGCAACAATGGCTGGTAAAATGGTGAGTGAGGGCAGGTCAACCACATCATATATTTTTCCAACTTTAGATATTAAATCTACATATTGAAAATAATTATTGCTTTTATATTACGTACAAATAAATTTATTTCAAGTTAGCTCTAAAATCTTATAAACAGATTATAATATATAGATATATAGATTCATTGTATCTACTTACAATCAATTTTATAAACTTTCCTTCTTGAAGGAATATGAAACAGTTGGTTGGATTATTTCTGATTTATATATCATTTTGAAGCAATTTACGAACTATAAATTAAACAAATGTATGTTTGTTTCATTATTTTCCTTTTATCTTTATTGCAAGGATATATAATTTTATATCGGATGAATTACTTTTATATCTTCGTTATGTATTTTACAGAAAATGTAATGAATTTATTTATTCATGTACATAAAAGCAATACATTTGTCGTTGTTCAATTTATTGATCAATATATTTGACAAATAAAGTGTTTCAGATAACTATGGTATATTATATGATACATTATACTCTCATAAGAGTTAAATAAACGTCATTATATCTTAAAGAACGATAAAAATAGATAAAATCGGACTACAATTTTTAATATAAATCGGGCCTATCCGATCTTGGAAACTATACGATATATTTATAATGTTTAATATAATGGAAACATAAATACATTTACAAGATTATTGGAGACATTTACAATTATTATTTATGATAGCGATTTAAGCATATAAGAACTTTATTAAAAAGGTTTCTTTTTTTTTCCCCCATTATTATTATTATAATAGCTCGATATCAATAACGTATTATATTTCATTTTTTAAATTATAATTTTTAACAAACAATACAAAATTGTTTTCATTATTTATGATATCGTAAAGATTTACAAGATTCTATCTTATTTCCTTGAAATACATATTTATACGAATTCTAACCTATCTCACAGAAAATTCGTACATGATCCCGAAGAAGTCGGCGGGAATAAAAAAATTTTACCAGACGGCGCTGTTTTCGCCTGTTAACGGCCATCTTGCCTAACTCCCTTCTTGCCCGCCACCTATCCCGAACTACTCCCTCCCTTTCCTCATTTAACCACTCGTTTCCACAGCTTTCTCGCAATCTGTTCGTTTCATTTCTGATCTTATATTTCTCAGTTATTTCATCTTTTCTTTCAATTCATTTACTTTTCAACGTTCAACAACGTTATTTTTCCATTCATTTTATTTCCTCGATATATCCAATTTTTCATTCGCACAATTTTATTTTTTTTATTTATTTCTTTTTATCCTTCTTGCATTTCATTTAATCTATGTCTCACAAATTACTTCCCAATTTCAGTTTCGAGTCTTTACTATGATTTATCAATGAAATCCCGACGGAGGACTTATGTAAAAAAAGAGATTACTACTACTTCCTATTTCCTTCTTTAAACACGCGCAATATCATTATCGCTTTCTACCGAACAATAAATCATAGGTATAGATATATTATTCATATAGTAATTATACATGTATATTACATGATATGTGTAAACCAAAATATATGACTTGTTAAAATGCAAAAAGTATAGATTAGTGAACTAATCTATACTTTTTACTAATCTATACTAAGGGGATCTGTATATATAGATACAAACATACGTTTCTCTTTTATAGATATAATTCAATAGTATGTCCTATTTTTGCGTTCTAATGTTTTTCACAATCTCTCTCTCTCTCTCCCCTCCTTTCCCTCTCTCTCTCCCCCTTCCTTTCCTCTCTTTCCTGCGCGCGGTGAAAATTTAAATCGGTCGTTTTAAAGGATACATCTTTAGAAGAGCGCGTAGCGCACAGTAGGCGGAGATAGAGGATGTTCAGTTGGCGAGGAGGACAGGGGAAGGCTGTACTTTAACGGGTGGTGGGAGGGATGGTGGAGTTAAGTGGGGTGCGTGGAGGGGAGGAGGTTTAACGCGCTCGGTCGACGGTGGCTGGCATTCGCCGGTTGCGAGGTAAAATGGTATCGACCGCAAGAGAAGTTCACATGGATTGACGAGCACGCGCGACACACCAAATGCGTGTGATCCATGCGAAAATTTGTAGGCGAAGCAGCAGCAGGCAGGAGCAACGGTTTTGTGCGCGGTGCTTTAGGGGAAGCAAAACAGAGAGAGAGAGAGAGAGAGAGAGAGAGAGAGAGAGAGAGAGAGAGAGAGAGAGAGAGAGAGAGAGAGAGAGAGAGAGAGAGAGAGAGAGAGAGAGAGAGAGAGAGAGAGAGAGAGAGAGAGAGAGAGAGAGAGAGAGAGAGAGAGAGAGAGAGAGAGAGAGAGAGAGAGAGTCGAATATTCGCATTTGCTCTCGCTGCATTCGGCCTCGACCTAACTTAAAGCAAAAACGTTTGCCCATTGATTCATGTAAATTAATATCGTCTTTGTGTATATGTCCAGTTCCAATTTATTTTCATTATCTGTCATTCTACTGTTTTCTGTGCGATTCGAAATTCCCGCTCTCTCTCTCTTTCTCTCTTTCTCTCTCTCTCTCTT